GGACTTTATGTTAAAATAGAGCCTAAAAAGGTATTTTTATGTTTTCTCTTAAATAATTAATTTTGGGACTTTATGATACTATATTATCTCATATTATTTTTGCAGGAGGACAAATTGAATTGAAGAGGTGGAAAGAGGGGGAAAAAAATAAAGTCAATGAATGAAGGATCCAATGTACACCGTTTTTAAAAAGAAGCAATTATATAATTAGTTGATGTGGAATTTTCTCAATATTTTAATATCCTTCCTGCTACTATTTTGTTTCCTTTTTGCTTGGGCATGTACTTCTTTTGACTCTCGAAAAATCTTAGGTATACCATCTTCATTTTTTCCGCATTTTTCGGTATTTTTTAATTTCATTTTTCCTTTTTTTTTTTTTACTATCTTCATTCCTTCCCCCCTTTTTTTTTGTATTTTTCCAATCTTAACTATTTTGCGTCCCGGATTGAATGATTCTAATACCATATTAGACTCTTGAGAAATATATATATATATATATATTAGGCTTGTTATGAAAATGGCTTCATACGACTTTTCTTAGAACTACATGTACCTTCAATTTGTTCCCTAACTAGTTGACCTGAAAAGTGTGCATGTATTTTACAGCTAGTGGCGGGGCTTCTGGGGGTGGAATCAGGACAAGACGCGGTGATCAGAAGTTTGTTATACGAACGGCGGGGGGAGACGGTGGCTCCTTACGGAGTGAGCGTGGCTGAGTTCACGAATCGGATATCGGCTTTAAGGGACAAGCTGGGGAAGGAAGGGCTGAAAGACGAAGGGCTCATAGTGCCAAGAAACTTGGGAGCAGAGGGAAGAATTTCAGGGAATGTGCTTGCTGGTGACAAGAACTCGCCTGCATACGGAAGAACCCCTAGGGAAGTGTTGAGGATAGTTTATGGAGGTGGTGATGAACGCTACCCTGGTGGATTCTACCCTCGTGGTGCTGATGGTCGTATTGCCAAATCTTACAGAGCAAATAATTAGTCATCCTCATAATAGGCTTTCGTTGTTTGAGGCAGAAGATCTTAATAAGTTCTGTAATAATTAGAAGATTTCTGCTTGATCATTTATCTTACACTGTACTTAGTCTGTGTTTGATTTGGATTTGTTATCCCTACAGTCTTATTTCAACAAAAGGCCCTCGGAATGGTTGGGATAATGTTTTATTGAAGGGTAATTTCGCCTAGAAATAGAGCTCGATTTCTGCTTTTTATTCAGTTAAAAAAAAAATTGTAACATTAGAATAAAAACAGGTAAAAAGAAGCTGCAAATTTGCATCCCAACTTGGAGACCTTATCAAAATTCAATCCTGCTGCCATTTTCAGTTCACCTACTGGCAGTGCTGTACTATAACTGCTCTATTTGCTTCAAAAGTAGCTTCATGATTGACACAGAGGATTTCCCAAAATTCTGGTATCCAATCATGTGTCACATTCACACAGTTACCTATCAACTATCTCATGAGGATTTGGTGGCCGATATCAGATAACAAGAGGTAGTTAAACCACCTGAACTTTCTAGTTATAACTCCAGACATTAGTCTTGTCGTCTATGATTTACTGTTGTTGAAGTTGTCGTGACAATGATTCCTCTGTTGCATCTTGCATGGTGGCTTGCTACCGTTATTTGAGCCCGTGTGTCAGCTATAATGCATCACAGTTCTTTCTTGCTTGATATTGTCTAATTTTCTTTTTTGGTTGAAGTTTTCACGTCTTAGTAATTGAACAATCGGCAGCTTAAACAGCACCTAGAGCAGAGAAAGATTGCATGAAATGTGTTGTGAAGAATCTGAGAAGCATTTTTAAAGATCATCAAATCAACATTGGAAGAAGAGATATGAAGGCCTGAGGATCCTAGTGACATCGTTCAATACCCACTGGATTAAACTGATGAACTCAAGGATTCTCTGTCTGATGATCCTTCATGTTCTACTGAACCTAGGAAATGCACTTCATCTTCCAGAAATATATAACAGAGAGAGATCAGTGCAATTCATCTTTTGATTTTAGTATGAGAAAAGAAACAAATATGGGCTTCTCTCTATTATATACATTTTAGAAGATGAGCTGCAGCTACTAGGTGAAGAAGAACATGCAAGGATGAACAGACAAAGGATACTCAAGTTCATCAGTTGAATCTTGTGCAGTACCAGGCCACTAGGATTAGGCCTTCATTTTTCTCCTCCAGGCATTGATTGGTTGATCTTAAAAATTTCTCTGGGATTCTACACAATTTTTTCATGTGATATTTTTTTCTCTCCAAGTGTAGTTTGAACAACCAATCATTCATAGACTAAGAGTGAAGATTCAACCAAAAAAATTAGACTACATCAAGCAAGTAGGAAGTGTGATGAATTTTATAGCCAAAATTTCCTCTAGCTTTGTTGAAGTATGCCCTTGTTTGAAAATTGGACAATTGGTTCAACCAAAAAATGGATGAATCAGTAAGTGGTCTAGTTTAGAATGTAAGAGAAACTAGTTGAAAGAAACTAGTCAAGACCTAATAAAATTGGTGAAAGGTGGGAAAATCAATGGTTCAATCTATTCCTATGATTGGCAATATGACAAATAAAATGGATAAACAATTTATTAAGATGATGGAGATTGAGGAGGAAGAGAGTTGCGATACAAGAACCACCCTGTCAAACTATAATTATGAGGAGACATTATCATAAAGACGTAAAGAAGGGACTAAGGCCTTCAAGGAAGGAAATGCACAAAGAAAAATGAAAACTCAATGTCTAAGAGTTGAGAGGCTGAGACATGTCATTGTAAAGGAGAAAGTCGAAAAGAAGAAGATGAATTAGAGGCTTAGGTATTTGGACATTTAAATATCAGAATGAATACATTAGATACAATGAATTAGACTTGGTATGCATGAACCATACGCTAAATTTTAAATTTAATTGAATGAATGAATATATTAAATAGGCATGTCAAATACAATAAATTAGACATGGTATATATATTAAGTATGCGTCTCATTTAAGTTTATCTGAATATATTGAATAGGCGCATGAAATGCAGTAAATCATACCCAAAATTGATACTTTTTGAATATATTTGGAGGTATTGAATGACTACATCATACATGCGTGCTAAATACACATCAAATCAGACTTTAAATTTCAAATTCATTTGGAAACATTGAATTGATGCATCAAATGCTACGAATTTCACTTGATATGCATGTATTAAACAGGCATTAAATTTCACATCCATTTGAATGTAAATGAACCTGCTAAATACAATTAATTACATTTGATATACATCAAAATACACGTCAGATGTCAAATTCAATTTATAATATTAATAAAGAAGTGATGAGTTAATATTACTAATGAACTAGGGACAAAAATTTCCATGAGCCGATGGTGCAACTTCCCTCGTTATTAGAAATAAGGTTTATGCAAGATCTCTTGACAGAACCATCTACATCCAATTGTAGTCGACTTATTTGTAATGGAGATAAGAATCGTCCACTTGTAATCTTCTTCTACAGCATTCTGAATACTTTTATGATCTCATTTAAAGTAATTTCAACATATTTCATGAGAACTAAGAACAATTTTAAACCTCATTACAAATTTAATAACTTTCAGCTTACAAAAAAAAATAACAGTTTACAGAAAAAATAAACTAAGGGGAAAATGATACATTCATATTATAATTTTAGTCAAGTGACTCATTAAGATTAATAAAATATTTTTTATTTGCCTTATGAATAACACCAAATAGAAGTATATCTAAATATTACATGTTCTCTCATATTTAGAGTTAGGAAAATAGGTCAAACCGGTTGGACTGACTCATTTAAATCAAAGGCCGGGTTTATGATTTGAAAACTCTAGAGGGTAGTTAGGTTTAAAAGGACCAGCTCTGACCCACTATTTTTTTTTTATACCTTTTCATTTATCTTATGATTTTATTTGTGAAGTTTATATGATTTTTTTCTACTACCTCTCTAGTGTTCCAATTCAGGAAATACATTGATGTTGTTCTTTGTATTAAAAATTTATCTTATGATTTTTAATATATTTTTTGTTGTCTTGTTTATGGATGTTTTAGATGTTTTTGGATGTTGATGAATGTTTTGTATATATGACTTGGTTTTATTCATATTTATGCCTTTTATTAGTAATTTTATTACTTTATTTTTTTTATAAAACATGTGAAGAATATACAATGGGCTGAAAAGCCTACAAGTTGATCCTGAACCGTCTGCTTAAAGGTTGAGCTTAACAAAATGAAATATCTTTAGAATTTCGGCTTTGTAGGGTTGGCTGTTTAGACTCGGGCCCTTGAGTATTCTTAGAAATATCTCTGGTATTGCTTGTGCTGATATTATCTACCACATAATGTTTCTCATTTTAAAGTTGCTTGCATTTTGATATGATTTTCAAATTGTCCAATTTTGCCGTGTTATAGAGAAAAATTCATCACACACAGACGAAGCTGTTCGTGCCTTGGAAAAACCGACACAGAAGACTTGAGAGTCTCTTAGCCGGCCATGAAAGGTTAAAATTAATAGCTGAAAATTGTTAATATGCTATTTTCTTCCTGGAAGCGCAACCCAGAAAACACTAACGTGGTTTAAATTGGTTATCACAGTTTCCAAACATAACTAGAGACTTTGGCCAGGAGATATTAACTTGGGATGGACATGAAACAAAGACATACTCTGGAGTTTGAATCAAATCATGGCATGGTTTCATTACCTTCTTAGGAAAAGAGGTACACACAAATAATTATTCTCTTTATAAGGTCCAAAGTATCGTTCCCCCTAAAAAAAGAAACAATATAAAACAAACACGAGTCAGTCAGTTAGATTTCTAGTTTAATTGCCTCTGAAGGATTGCAAATATCTGCAAGTCCCACTATCTCTTGTTCAACTAAAAATCTCCCTCTCTCTAAATTCTTGGTAGTGTTGGAATACATAACTAATAAAAATATCATAAAGATCAACAAATCGACATATACTGGACGCTGCTCTAATTGCGGTTGGAGCGATAAATTAAAGGAATAGAAATTCTAGTTTTCCCAGAAGAAACACAGACAATAGTTTTCCCAGAAGAAACGCAGGCAACATGTTCTCACGATAATAGAAAGCTACAAATATAATATACATCTGTCGTGAAGATTTGCAGGTGAACCCTAACAAACAAGTCTCTGGCTCCACTTCAGGACCATCAGCTTCATTTGTTTCTATTGATTTGCGTATGCCACACATCACTTTTCAATCAGAGAGTGAATGTTAACTTGAGAGTAGAAGTGATAGGTCTTGGCTTCAATTATGATTGCCCTCAATCGTCCAACAGGTGCGACGATCATTAAGGTCACTCCAAGCAAAATGCAAATCTGAAATCAATCCATCTGATTCCACATGTTAATCAAAAAGGACCAATGAGGATTAATAACATCAAAATGAAAATTCCCAACATACCCAGTAGTTAGCCCACCAAGAGAAACTAAATCTCCTTGGGTTGCGGATTGTGGGCCATATCATGCAAGGCAGCTGAAAGTTGAAAGAACATGAATTGTTAAACCAAATGTCAGTCCTCAGGGGGGGAAAGAGAGAGAGAGAGAGATCTTACTAGATTTCAAGCATTCGTGACTTACAAAGCATGTTGTTGGGGCAAAAGCAAATCCTCCGAAATATCCCAGGAGATTATTGAAAAATGGGAAGGTGATAGCAGTAAACATTGTGTGCCCTGCAATATGAAAGTATATCAATGTATACTGACAAACCAAAGCACATCCATTGGAGATATTACATAAACCCATAAGAGTAAGAGTTATCCTCACCCACATAAATATTGCGGACGACAAAACGAAGAAATTTGGTAGGTCTGAATTTCAGTTTCCTTACCAACAAGGTTTCAATCATGTCAAACACCGCCATTGCATAAATCTAGATCAAGAATCACAGAACGGCCAGAAATGTAACGCCTTAGGACGAGACATGAAGAAGTTTGCAGTGAGTAGAAGGAATCATATATAGCGAAGTATACGTTTATATATACATATTCATCACCTGATAGCTTCCAATTAAATGGATAACAACAAACAAGTTGGCCATGGCAATAAGCCACGCTGGTTCATTTAATTTGATGAGAATATTCTCACCAACATTCAGATTTCCAAAAACCCAATAACCAAAGATAGCAACTGGGAAGTAGCACGCAGCCACAACTATATAGGCGACAACAACTCCTCTCCACATAGGACCCTTGGATGGTTTCTCAGGTGTAGATGGGATTGCTGCTTGGATTTCCAGCACCACGTTGTGCCCAGCATAGGCAAAAGCCAAATTGCCAAGAGCATTAAAGAGGCTGAACACATTCCCTAGAGCGCTATGATCTGACCTGTAAGCATAATCTGCATTGTCAACAATACCCTGTTTTAAACATGCTGCCCAGGCCATTGCAGCATAACTGTGGGACCAAAAAAAAAAAAACAAAGAACAAATCAAACGTTACTGATTATGTGGTTCTATATATCTAATCAATGGAAGCTGGACAGATAAAAGAAAGGACAAGGATGTATATACCTAAAGGACATGACTGCGGCCGCCGGAGATACACCAGAAATAGCGTTGAAGTTGGGGAGATGGGTAGTACAAATTGAGCAGGGGCGAAGATAATAATGAAAAAGGACAATTTGATCTTATCGCAGCCGGGACAGACAGTGCCATGGAACTTATGCAATGACTGTCCTCCAGTGACCATGTAGACAATGTACACACCAACTTCAACAAGAAGTTGCTGAGGCACCACAATGTAGAGTCCCAGCTTTCACCAAACGCATACTGACCCACTTCATGGCATCTGTCAAAACGCCTTCCTGGAACCATTTCATGCATCTCCACCATTTGCCAAAGAGTATACAGCGTAATGATCCACGAGAGGGTTAGTACAGTCATACCAGGACCTCTGTAGAAAAGCAACTTCGTAATAAGCAAGGGGACAAACACTTGGTATTCACAATTATTGCTTGAATATATGCAGGAATTTTTTCTTTTTGTTGCGTGTTAATTGGATAAGATCATGTTAGAAAAATTGCAAAGAAATGGAGCTAAAATTAATGCAACTCTTACCATCCTAGCACGGCCATGTCATTAGGAAAACTGTGTATGCGACCTCCAGCATTGGCGGTAACGTTGTGGAAAGCTGAGTAGTACCATTTTGCATTCCTTGAAGAAGTAACTGGAAGCCAACCATCAATTTCCGTCTGACTCGCCAATCTTTCATCAAACCGTTGGATGGCAAAAATGAAAAAAACAAATGAATACACAATTCATATTCTTCAGAAGAACAGGGGCATGTAAGAACAGATATGCAATGAATCAGCAAAATGCAATTCTGGCAGCATTTCAAAACTGAGAAAGGGTTGGATTTTGGAATGTTCCAAAGTAATTGTTGAATGTGAGTGAGGATGTTTTCCACTTACGCGCGACTTCAATGATTCGTTGGACCTTTTATATCGATTTCACAAGACAACGTTTACGAGAAATGCAGAGCGATTATTGTAAATGACTACTTGATAGAAGAGTATTGATTAAGTATTTTCAATATGATTTTCATTTAAAATTATAAACTATAAAAAGAATATGATACAAGTCGAATTTTTTTTTAAATATGAATAAAATTGAAAATATATTCTCGTATTTTCTTAATTTCAAAAAGTGCGAGGGAATCACGCAAGGTTGTACCAATGTGACAGAAGAAATTGAAGTATCGCCACGTGGCAGCGGGATTATAAAGTCAAATAACACCAGCTAGTGATACAAAGAAGGACATTACGATCAGATCCCATTAAAAAAAATACAATTACAAAATAAGTCTTATAAATTGTTATTTTTTATTTTGAAACTTATCACTATAGACTACTTAAATTATTATTAAGACTTTTTAATAATAATTTTTTTTAGGACTTCATTATAATTCTCCCTTTTTTGGCTTCAAAAGAAGGAGATTAATTTTATTAAAATAGTAAATGGATCCAAATTTGGACATAGCCAGCAAGCTTTCCCTGACTGAGATTGATTCTATTCATTTGTAGTAATTTTTAAAATAAATGCTACATTCAAAAAATTTTTATAAAAAAAAAATTGGAAATTAAGTTGCTTACATATTACCCCAAATTTGGACATAGCCAGCAGACCTTCTCTGCTTCTATTTTTTGGCAAAAAAAAAGAGTCCATTTTATTGATAACAAAAAAATGAGTGCAAACACCAATAGCCGAAGCTAAAAGACACTCAAAAAAATCTAACAATAAATCCTATCCCACAAAAAACTCATCAAAACCACACCCAAAAAAACTAACAAGCAAGCCTACATACAAATCACACAAAAAAAACAAACAAACAAGTTGCATGACATAAAGCAGACATCAGCCAACACCAACATGGTCAGCAGAGGCTACACCAGATTGAAAGGATCTTCCATTCCTTCCAATACGCCTGCTCAAACCATTCTGCACCTCCATGCTATCCTTTTTCCTACAGCCAACTGAGTCAGCCAATAGAATATCCTCCAAAGGAGTTGGAACTGTTGCCAGCCACCCACTGGGTGCTAACTCCCTCCTACAAGAAGCTGCAATGAAGTCTGCAGCACCATTGCCCTGGCGAGATACCAAGGGAAACACAATCTCTGGCCTATTCTCAATTAGTGACAGTATTTCAGTTAACACAGGAGTACACTGCCATTCAAACACATCAGTAGAGGACTTAACAATGTGCTTAAAGAGAATTTCACAGTCAGTTTCAATGCAAATCGACATATATTGGACACTGCTCTTATTGCGGTTGGAGCGATAAATTAAAGGAATAGAAATTCTAGTTTTCCCAGAAGAAACACAGACAATAGTCTTCCCAGAAGAAACACCAGCAACATGTTCTCATATAATAGAAAACTACAAATATAATATACATCTGTCGTGAAGATTTGCGGGCTAACCCCAACAAACAAGTCCCCAGCTCCGCTTCAGGTCCATCAGCTTCATTCGTTTCTATTGATTTGCATATGCCACAAATCACTCTTTCTTCAGAGAGTGACTGTTAACTTCAGAGTAAAAGTTGTAGGTCTTGGCTTTAATTATGATTGTCCTGAATCCGCCAATAGGTGCTACGATCATTAAGGTCACTCCAAGCAAAATGCAAATCTGAAATCAACCCATTTAATTCCATATGTTAATCAAAAAGGACAAATGAGGATTAATAACATCAAAATAAAAAAAGTTAAGATGCAAATTTGTCCTGAAAATTTTTATTAGAGGCGCTTGAAAGTTTTTTTTTTTTGGGTTATAAATTTGCTTTGAAAATTTGAAATCGTAGTAATGTTACCACTTACCATTAAAAATATTAATGGTCAACATCACTATTTTAACGGTCAAAGTTAGCTTATTAATAGTAAGGGGCAATATTACTATAATTTTAAATTTTTAGGACAAATTTGCACCTTAACTCAAATTAAAATTGCCAACATACCCAGTTAGCCCACCAAGACAAGCTAAATCTCCTTGGGTTGCGGATTGTGAGCCACATGATACAAGGCAGCTGAAAGTTGAAAGAAGATGAATTGTCAAACCATATGTTAATCCTCAGGAAAGAGAGATCTTACTAGATTCAACTTTTCAAGCATTCATGACTAACAAAGTATGATGTGGGGGCAAAAGCAAATCCTCCGAAAAACCCCAGGAGACCATTGAAAAATGGGAAGGTGATAGCAATAAACATTGTGTACCCTGCAATACGAAAGAATATCAACGTATACTTACAAATCAAAGCATATCCATTGAAGATGTTATACAAAGGCCTAAGAGTTTTACTCACCCACATATACATTGCGCACGACAAAACGAAGAAACTTAGTAGGTCTGAATTTCATTTTTCTTACCAACACGGTTTCAATCATGTCAAAAACTGCCATTGCATAAATCTAGATCAAGAGCCACAAAACAACCAGAAATGTATTGCTTTAGGACAAACATGAAGAGCTCTGCATTAAGTAGAAGGAAACATATATAGGGAGGTATTTGTGTATACATCTTCATCACCTGATAGCTTCCACATAAATGGAGAGCGACAAACAAATTAGCCGTAGCAATAAGCCATGCTGGTTTATTTAACGTAATGAGAATATTTTCGTCCACTGCCTGATTTCCAAAAGCCCAGTAACCAAAGATAGCAACTGGGAAGTAGCATAAAGCCACGATTATATAGGCGACAACAACGCCTCTCCACATAGGACCCTTGGATGGTTTCTCAGGTGTAGATGGGATTGTTGCTTGGATTTCCAGCACCACGTTGTGTCCAGCATAGGCAAAAGCCACATTGCCAAGGGCATTAAAGAAGCTTAACACATTCTCTGCAGTCCTATGATCTGACCTGTATGTATAACCTACATTATGTACAATATCCTGTTTTAAACATGCTGCCCAGGCCATTGTAGTATAACTGTAGGACAGAAAAAAAGAGCAAATTAAACATTACTTATTGTGTGGTTCTATACGCCTAATCAGTGGAAACTGCAAAGATAAAAGAAGTGACATATGGATGTATATACCTAAAGGACATGACGGCGGCTGCCAAAGATACACCAGAAATAGCGTTAAAGTTGGGGAGATGGGATAGTACAAATTGAGCAGAGGCAAAGATCATAATGAAATAGGATAACTTGTTCATCTTATCGCAGTCATGACGACAGACGATTTTGTGGAACTTCCGCAATGACTCCCCTCCAGTGACCATGTAGACAATGTTCACGCCAACTTCAACAAGAAGTTGCTGAGGCACCACAATGTAGAGGCCCAGCTTCTCACCAAAGGCATACTGGCCCAGCTCATGGTATCTGTCAAAACGCCTTCCTGGAACCATTTCATGCATCTCCACCATTTGCCAAAGAGTATACAGTGTTATGATCCACGAGAGGGCTAGTACAGTCATACCAGGACCCCTGCAGAGAAACAATACCTTAATCAGCAAATTGACAGACACTTGGTGTTCACAAGGGAAACTGGGTACGCCAGTTAAAATTACGCAGGAAGCAAGCTTTTGTTGAGTGATAATTGGATGAGAGCATGTTAGAAAAAATTGCAAAGAAATGGAGCTAAAATGAAAGAAATTTGGGTTTGAATGTTCTGACCATCCTAGCGCGGACATGTCATAAGGGAAAATGAGTACACCAGCTCCAACCATGGCCGTAACGTTGTGGAAAGCTGAGTAGTACCATTTCGCATTCCTTGAAGAAGTAACTGGAAGCCAATCATCTATTTCCTTCTGACTCGCTAATCTTTCATCAAACTGTTCGATGTATTGGCGTATATGAACAAAAAATTCAGCTTATTCAGAAGAACATAGGTAGGTGAGAAGAGATATGCAATGACTCAGAAAAATGCAATTTTGTTATCCATTTCAAAACTGAGAAACAAATAACGCTCTCAGGCTATTCGTGAGCTTGCCAAGCGCTTATCTTTATGTTAGATAGTTTTCATGTTTAATGCTCGCAAATTATCGACCATGGCATTCACGATCCATGACGCCTCGTGGCAGCGGGATCATTGTAAGTCAAATAACGACCACATAGTAATATTTAAAAAAGATTGTTTTTATTAAAATAGAAAATGCACCCAAATTCCCCAGACTCTGATTCGATTCATATGACTAATAATATAATCCGAATGTTTCACAAATATTGCACTTCTTTTCTACTTCCTCAGCGACTTTTTACAACAACTTTTATTTTCTTCTTGTCCTTAAATATAAACAACATTTATATGTTGTCTTTAATTTTGATAGCAAATTTTCTATTTTACTCATATTAATTATTTATTTTAATATTCAATATATTTATTATCTCATCTATCTTCATCACACATTTTCTCTTTTTCAACTCTCTTTATTATAGTAATTTTCTTATGTTCTTTCTTACATCCTCTCTTTTCTATAAAAAGGATATTTTGAAAAAAGAACTTTTAATTTCTACACATTTATTGTCTTTAATTAATTTTAACTAACTTTTTAATCTACGTAATGGAGTTCAACCTTATTTATAGAAAGGAACGGAGTGAGTAGTGTTTAAGGTTTAAATAGTATTGAAAAATCATTACATACATTTTAATGTTATTGTTTTTAAATTTTAATTACTTATTTTTTAAATTTATTATTACAATAGTACATAATAATAATCCTAAAAATCATTAATAAACTTTCGATCGCCCCCCCTAAAATTTTTTGGGTTCGTCCCTTGTTTACTTCATATTACCAGAAGACTCAAGAATCGAAACCGAAAGGCAAGGAGTTCGTCAGGAACCATTGAGTGAATACAAACACGAGCGCACACACACATACATATACATATATATATATATATATGTATGTATGTACATAATTCTCACTATATATGAGGAAAATATTATTAGGTCCCAATAAAAACAATATAACTATCAAAAAATTTCAATAACAAGGAAGTAACATAAAAATATTGTCATATTATACACCAACACTTGTTTCTTATGATTGCATACCTTCCTTAAGACCTCAAAATAATTATTTCCATATATATTTGTTCGTTTTTTAGCGTCAAAACTGGGGGAAAATTGGAAGGGAAAAAAAAAGACGAGAGTAAAGAACAAGGGAATTAAATCAAATAAAATGAAAAGACAGAGCTTGGGAGAGGATGCTACAGATTGAGGAAGGGACATACACTGTCAGTGGCAGTGGCAGGATAAGAGTCGATCTTCGGTGCTTGAGTTCGCATTTGATGAGTCCGGAGAAGATCACGAACACACATATGCAGAGATAAGAAGCATGCCTCTTTTATATAACAGAGTATTGAGTTTTTTTCCTTTTACTCTGACGTTTAATAACTCGTTGACTTTTCAACAAACAGTGTAGAACTTTTCTGCTGGTAATTTTTTTATGTGATAGAATTTGAAAGACGCAACACAAGGACAATTGATTATCAAATTCCATTGAAGAATTCCTAGCGAATTGCGTTCTCTACACTAAGCCCACGCCACACAGTCTGTTATAATGACAGACAATTTCCTGGCAACATGTACACAGCCAAAAAAAAAAAGTCAAATAGTTGAAAGTTGAAACTCAAGTAGTTTCCTGGCAAGATGAAACATGCCACGTGCCATTCATCTAATTTCTTTTTCTTTCTATCTTGGACCGTGATTAAACAAATGAGATTTGACACAATGGGGTTCTCAAGCGATGTTTCATCGCAAGAGATAGAAACCACAATAGAGTATTAATCAACAGCGAGGAAGCTGGACGGCTCTGGGAATCAACAAGTAGCTTAAATTAAATTGTCTGACATGAAGGCAGTGGTGTATTTAATACAGCTTGACAATTGTTAATCTGCCATTTTCCTCCTGGAAGTACAACCCAGAAAATGTAGTTTACAAACATAAGTAGAAACTTGTGCATCAAAAAACCACAAGTAGCGATTTTGCTCAGGGGATACTAACTTGGGACGGACATGAAAAGAAAAATATGCCCTCAATTTTAAATCAAATCATAGCACAAGTCTTATAACCTTCTTATAAACATTTGAACAGGAAAATAAAAGTTACAAAATATATTAAACACTGAACAATGTCATGCTCTAGGTCCCCAACTTGGAGCCCTTGTCAAAATTCAATCATCTGCCACTTTCATGCAGATTAGTACCTATGAACGAGCTCATGAGGATTTGGTGCCTGGTACAAGATAACAAGAGGGAGACAGGTAGTTAATGTTGGAGTTTTAGTATTACCAGAACTCTCTAGTTATTACTCCAGACACTAGTTTTGTCATCAATGGTTTACTGTTGTTGAAGATGTCGGGACAATGATTCCCCTGCTGCTTCTTGCATGCCAGCGAGCTACCGTTGTTTGAGCCCTTGCGTCAGCTATAATTCATCACAGTTCTTTCTTGCTTGATATTGCCTAATTTTCATTTTTGGTTGAGGTTTCACTTGCTAGTAATTGAAAAATCGGGAGCTTAAACTGCACCCAGAGCAGAGAAATATTGCATGAATGTGTTGCGAAGAATCTGAGAAGCATTTCTAAGATCATCAAATCAATGTTGGAAGAAGAGATATGAAGTCCTGAGGATCCTAGTGACATCGTCCAATATCCACTGGATTAAACTGATGAACTTAAGGATTCTATGCCTGATGATCCTTCGTGTTCTGCTGAACCTGGCAAACGAACTTCATCTTCCAAAAATTATATAATAGAGAGCTCAATGCGATTCATCTTTTGATTTTAGTACGAGAAAAGAAATAAATATGGGCGTCTCTCTGTTATATACTTTTAGAAGATGAAGTGCGGCTACTAGGTGCAGAAGAACATGCGAGGATGAACAGAACAGGCAAGGGATACTCAAGTTCATCAGTTGAATCTTGTGCAGTACCAAGCCACTAAGATTAGGCCTTCATTTTTAATTTTTCCTCTATGCATTGATTGGTTGATCTTGAAAATTTCTCTGGGTTTCTACACAATCTTTTCATGTGATCTTGTTCTGTTCCAAATGCAGTTTGAACAACCAATTATTCATAGACTAAGAGTGAAGACTCAACAAAAAAAATTAGACTATATCAAGCAAGTAGGAAGTGTGATGAATTTTATAGCTAAAATTTCCTCTAGCTTTGTTGATATATGACCTTGGCTATCACTTGTTTGAAAATTGGACAATCGGTTATACCAAAAAAATGGATGAATCAGTAATTGATCCAGTTTAGAATGTAAGAGTAACTACTTGAAAGAAACTAGTCAAGACCTAACAAAATTGATCAAAAATTGGTGAAAATTGGGAAAATAGATGGTTCAATCAATTCCTATGGTTTGCAATATAAAAAATAAAATGGATAAAGAATTGATTAAGATGATAGAGATTGAGGAGTGAGAGAATTACGATAAAGCAACCACCCACATATGGTGTTTTGGTCAAACTATAATTAAATGGAGACACTGTCATAAAGACGCAAAGGCAGGAAGGGAGGGAAGGAAGGGGGCACTATGGTTGATATATGGGTTGGAGGAAGAAGAGGAATAAGGCCTAGAATGAGGAAAATGCACAAAGAAAATGATAACTCAATGTAAAGTTGAGAGGCTGAGACATGTCATTGTAAGGAGAAAGCAAACAGAAAGAAGATGAATTAGAGATTTAGGTATACGATCCTTTAAATATAAGAATGGACGCATTAGATACAATGAATTAAACTTAGTAAGCGTGAACTACACGCTAAATTTTAATTTTAATTGAATGTATTAAATAGGCGTGTTGATGAATCAGACATGATATGCATTAAGTACACACCTAATTTTAAATTCATCTGAATATATTGAATAGGCCATCAAATGCAATGAATTACACTTAACATGTGCTATATTTTAAATCCATTTGAATATTCAATGAACGCGTCTGATGAATTACATCTGATACATGCTAAACAAGCATAAAATTTTAAATTCATCTGGAAACATTGAACTGATGCATCATATGCCACGAATTCCACCTGAGATGCATTAAATGGGCGTTAAATTTTAAATCCATTTTAATATATTGAATGAACGTGTTAAATACAATGAATTATATTTAATATACACTAAATACACATCAAGTGTCAAATACAATTTATAACATTAATGAATAAGCGATGAGCTAATATTACTAATGAATATTGGTTATTAGGGACAATTTTTCATGAGCCCATGATGCAATTTCCCTAGTTATCAAAAGTCAGGTTTCTGCAAGATCCATTGGTAGAACCATCTACATCTAATTATAGTCAATTTATTTGTAATGGAGTCCAATAATCCTTCTCTTGTAAATTTGTAATCTTCTATTTCTTTTGTGGCATTCTGAATACTCTTTTATATATAAGGTACTTTGAACATATTTTATCAGAAATCTCTAACACTGTCTTAAAATTAATAACTTTCAAATTTTACTCATATTTAGTATATATACTCTACAAGAAAATTACAGTCTGTAGAACAATAAATTAACAGTAAAATTATATATTCATAATTTAGTAAGATAACTCATACTAAGGTTAAAAAAGTACTCTTTCCCAAATGAACAGGACCAAAAGAAGTACGTATGAAAATTACATTTCCTGCATTGATGTGAGAAAATGCTGTTACATATTACTTTCCATATCCCTTGTATTGCATGGACAGAGATTATCTTCCACAGAAAGTTCCTCATTCTAAAGTTGCTTGCATTTTTATCTGCTTTCCAAATTGTCCAATTTTGCAGTGGGCTTGAAAACTGAATATTGTCGGGTGCAAATATCAGCAGGTCGTACTATCTTTTGTTTTTTGTAAATATCCCCCTCTCTGTTTTCTTTTCTATTCTTTTTAGATGTTGCTGGTGCTGGAAAAGATAACTGAATAATGGAATATTATAAAGATCAATAAAATTGACAAATATTGGACATTGCGCTAATTGTGGTTGGACTGACAAATTAAAGGAATAAAAATTATAGTTTTCCCAGAAGAAACACAGGCAACATGATCTCATAATAATAGAAAGCTACAAATATAATGTGTGTGTGTGGGTGTGTGTCTCGTGGAGCTTTGCTAGTGAAACTTAACAAACAAATCCCTGGCTTCACTTCAGGACCATCAGCTTCATTCGTTTCTATTTATTTGCATATGCCGCACATCACTCTTTCATCAGAAAATGGAATGTTAACTCAAGAGTAAAAGTGGTAGTCCTTGGCTTTAATTATGATTGCCCTCAATCCTCCAATAGGTGCTACGATCATTAAGCTCACTCCAAGCAAAATGCAAGTCTGAAACCAATCCATTTAACCCCTTATATTAATCATAAAGGACAAATGATTAATAACATCGAAGGAAGAATTCCCAACATACCCAGTTAGTCCACCAAGACGAGCTAAATCTCCTTGGTTTGCGGATTGTGAGCCATATGATGCAAGGCAGCTGAAAGTTGAAGGAACATGACTGTTAATCCTCAGGAGAGAGATCTTACTAGATTCAAATTTTCAAGCATTCGTGGCTTACAAAGTATGTTGTTGGGGCAAAAGCAAACCCTCCGAAAAATCCCAGGAGACCATTGAAAAATGGGAAGGTGATAGCAACAAACATTGTGCACGCTGCAATATGAAAGTATGTCAATGTACAGTTACAAATCAAAGCATATCCATTGAAGATGTTATATAAACCCCTAAGAGTTATACTCACCCACATATACATTGCGCACGACAAAACGAAGAAACTTGGTAGGTCTGAATTTCAGTTTCCTCACTAACACGGTTTCAATCATGTCAAACACTGCCATTGCATAAATCTATATCAAGAACCACAAAACAACCAGAAATGTGTTGCTTTAGGACAAACATGAAGAGCTTTGCAGTAAGGAGAAGGAATCATATATAGGGAGGTATTTGTGTATACATCTTCATCACCTGATAGCTTCCACATAAATGGAGGGCGACAAACAAATTAGCCGTAGCAATAAGCCATGCTGGTTTATTTAATGTGATGAGAATATTCTCACCGACATACTGATTTCCAAAAACCAAATAACCAAAGATAGCGACTGGAAAGTAGCACACAGCCACGATTATATAGGCGACAACAACTCCTCTCCACATAGGACCCTTGGATGGTTTCTCGGGTGTAGATGGGATTGTTGCTTGGATTTCCAGCACCACGTTGTGTCCAGCATAGGCAAAGGCCACATTGCCAAGGGCATTAAAGAAGCTTAACACATTCCCTGCAGTGCTATGATCTGACCTGTACGTATAATCTACGTTGTCTACAATACCCTTATCTAAACATGCTACCCAGGCCATTGTAGTATAACTATAGGACAAAAAAATAGAACAAATCAGACATTACTGATTGTGTGGTTCTATGTACCTAATCAATGGAAGCTACAAAGACAAAAGAAGGGACATGGATATATATACCTGAAGGACATGACTGCGGCTGCCAAAGACACACCAGAAATAGCGTTGAAGTTTGGGAGATGCGATAGTACAAATTGAGCAGAGGCAAAGATCATAATGAAATAGGATAATTTGTTCATCTTATCACAGTCATGACCACAGACGATTTCGTGGAACTTCTGCAACGACTGTCCTCCAGTGACCATGTAGACAATGTTCACACCAACTTCAACAAGGAGTTGCTGAGGCACCACAATGTAGAGGCCCAGCTTTTCACCAAAAGCATATTGACCTAGTTCATGGTATCTGTCAAAACGCCTTCCTTGAACCATTTCATGCATCTCCACCATTTGCCAAAGAGTATACAGTGTAATGATCCACGAAAGGGTTAGTACAGTCATACCAGGACCCCTGCAGAAAAACAATATCGTAATCAGCAAAAGGACAAACAATTGGTATTCACAAGTGTTGCTTGAATATATGCTGGAATTTTTCTTCTGTTGCGTGATAATCGGATGAGATCACGTTAGAAAAATTGCAAAGAAATGGAGCTAAAATTAATGTAATGTGGGTTTGAATACTCTTACCATCCCAGTGCGGCCATGTCATAAGGGAAACTGAGTACACCAGCTCCAACCATGGCCGTAACGTTGTGGAAAGCTGAGTAATACCATTTTGCATTCCTTGAAGAAGTAACTGGAAGCCAATCATCAATTTCCTTCTGACTCGCTAATCTTTCATCAAACTGTTGGATATATTGGCATGAATGGAACAAATGAACACACAATTCATCTTCTTCAGAAGAACAGAGGCATGTAAGAATAGATATGCAATGAATCAGAAAAATGCAATTTTGGTGGCATTTCAAAACTGAGGAAGAGCTGGATTTTGGAAAGTTCCAAAGTAATTCTTGAATGTGAGTGAGGGTGTTTTCTCCTTACATGCGAGTCCAATGATTCGTCTAACCAGAGGCAAACAACGCACTCAGGTTATTCGTGACCTTGCCAGGAGCTTATCTTTATGTTAAACACTCGTCCCGTCCTAAATATAAGAACTTTATACACACTAGAATAAGAGTCTTATATTTAGGACCGGAGTAGTTTAATTAGCCGGAGGTGTTAACCCATAATATCCTCTCTCTTTTTTAATGCTGGCAAATTATCGATCATGGCATTCACTTCCTATGACACCACGTGGCAGCTGGATTATTATAAGTCCAATAACGACCAGACAGTGATATGGAAAAAGCGAGATTATTTTGCCAAAAAAAAAAAAAGAAGAAGATTATTTTTATTAAAATAGAAAATGGATCCAAATTTTGACATTCCCAACCAACAAGCCTTCTCAGACTGAGATTCGATTCATTTGACTAATTATACAGTTGCTTTTAAAACAACTATATATATTTTTCTTAGATGCCAAAATGAAAATAATCTGAAAGTTTCTCAAATATTGCACTTCTTTTTTTTTTTTTTTTTTTAGACATTACTGAAATGAATCCGGCAAAAATAATGATATTGATTTAAACGTATTGGATGAGTAAACACGAGATTCTTTTCACAAAATTTCTTTTTTTTGTTATAAATTTATTCTTAATTTTTTCACTATAAAAACACAATTTTATTGTCAAATGGTTGATAATTGTTTCAATAACTTAACTATTTATATAACTAATAGATTATGATGAATTTGATAATAAAATAATTTTTATTCGGCTATGATTTAAAGGAAATAATTGTTATAACTAAAAAAATAATTTATAACTATAGTATATACCTTTATCAATGTTAAAGTAATTATATTTATTTTAATACTATTATATTTAATTATTAATTATTTATTTTTCTAAATTTATTATGACATTATTTTAATAAATACTTTAAATAATAATAATTCTAAACATTATCATTGAACTTTCGGCCCACAATATATATGAGGAAAATATTATCAGGTTGCAATAAAAAATATAATTATTAAAAAAATTAATAACAAATAAGCAAGATAAACATATTATTTAATACACTGAAACTTGTCATTATATTGTATGCCGCTCAATTGTGAACTTTTTGATGATTACATTCCTTCACTTAGATCGCATAATAATTATTCCCATGCATATTTGTTCGTTTTTACAACAAAAAAATTAAGGGAAAATTGCAACCAAAAAAAATGTAAAGAACAAGCGAATTAAACGAAACGAAACGAAGAGATAGAGCTTGGGAAAGCATGCTATAGATCGAGGACGAAGGGACATACAGTGTCGGTGGTAGTGGCGGCATAAGGGTCGACGCTCGGTGCTTGAGTTCCCATTTGATGAGTCCAGAGAAGAAGATCCCCAACACGTATATGCAGAGATGAGAAACATGCCTCTTATATATAACGAAGTGTTGAATGACTCGTTGACTTTTGAACAGTTTAGAACTTTTCTGGTGATATTTTTTTTAGTAGAATTTGAAGGACGCAACACGACAATGACAGCTGATTATCAAATTCCATCGAAGAATCCTTGCGAATTGCGTTCTCTGCACTAAGCGGACAATCTGTTTTCATAACAGACAATTTCCTGGCAACATGCATACAGCGGGAAAAAAAAAATAGCAAAATTTTTAGTTGAAAGTTGAAACTCAAGCAGCTTCCTGGCAAGATGAAACATCCCACGTGGCACACCTAATTTCTTTTCATCTTGGACCGTGATTAAACAATTGAGATTTGACAAAATGGGGTTCTCAAGTGATATTTCATCAAAAGAGATAGACACCATAAGGGACAGATATATATTAATCAGCAGGGAGGAAGTTGGAAACCTCTGTGAATCAGCAAGTAGCTTAAATAAATTGTTTGACGAGGCCAGTGGTGAATTTAATACGGCTTGAAAATTGTTACTCCGCTGCTTGCTTCCTGGAAGTACAACCCAGAAAACACTATCATGGTCTAAATTAACTATGACAGTTTACAAACATAACTATAAACTTTGACCAGTGTGTTGCACAGGAGAGATGTTAACTTGGGACGGACATGAAAAGAAAAATTTAAGTTTGAATCAAAACGCAGCGAAACTTTTATAACTTCCTGTCATCGCAAAAGAGTTACACATAAGTAGTCATTCTCGTCCCAAAGTGTCATCCTCGCTAAAAACAAAAGAACTTGCAAATAAACATCAGCCAGTTATATTGCTCTTGTTTAATTGCCTTTGTAGACACGGAAACTGAAAGTCGCGGGGTACAAATATCAGCAAGTCCTACCGGCTCTTGTTCACTCATGAATCTCTGCTAAGATTCTTCTTAGATGTTGATGGGTGTTGGGATACATAACTGAATAATAAGAATATCATAAAGATCAATAAATTACAATGCTTCAATCGTGGTTGGCGTGATCAATTAAAGGAATAAAATTTTGAATGACAACTAAGAAAATGCAAGGAAATGAATAGATAGAGACAATATACTATGTGAGCTTTAAAAATTTTCTTCGAGGAATTGAGCTTAATATTATACTAATCACGTTGAAACTGAAAAGTCTTTATAGCTGGCCAATGATTTAGATAACAACCAAAATCATTTTGCATCTTCATATGATTTTTTTATTTTTATTTTACGGCGCAAAATATGTTAGTGCTTATGTTCAACATTTGACATTGACATTATAAGCACCAATATAATAAGCTTTAGAAGAGATCCACGAACTTCAGGCGGTTTCATTCAAACCCTGAGATGAGCGTCTTATATCAGAAACTTCCGGGATCTGGGGATTGAATAACACAGTTGTTGCAGTTCAATGGTTTATTAGGACCTTGTCAACTGTCAGGAATGAATCTTTTATAGAAAGAATATAAAATAAGGAAGAAAGTACATGACAAAACAATACAGTTGGAAGAAATTATTGGACAACGACACCTGTCAATATTGTCACTCGGGTACATTGGACAAAAACAACTGTAGGTTCATCATGGCGTTCTTGGATATTTTCATAGTTAAATGTAAGCAGTGTCATCATCCAGAATACAGTTGACGGTATAATTCCTGCATAAAAATAAAAAGGAAAAGATAACTACGATGAGGCACATTGTATAAAATAAAGGGAAAAGAATAATGAGATGAGATGCAAATTAATGGTAACTAAAGAATAATGAGATGAGATGCGAATTAGTGGTAACTGAGGATTTGATATGATGAAACCTATTCAATAATGACGTAGACACAAGAAAGTACAAGCGGAGAACCAACCATAAATTCTCCATGAACTTGTTGGTGGATGTAAAGCAGAAAGCAACACAATCTCTATTTTCCATTCTGACCACTTTTCAATGAAGTACTCGCAGTAAGCAACATCCTCATCCCCCATCCTCTCAAAGACCTTGCTCAATTAACGCCTTCTCCAACATCAGATTTGTTGGACTTCGACAATCCATACTCAGCAGACTTTTGGAATTGATTTTTTCTTTTAACATTAAAGATGCATTGGTAACTTGATGATGAGAGTCAAAGCTGAGCAACATTATGAAACAGCTTTGATCCTGACCTCGAGTGGATCCCAAGGCAAGAATTACATCTTCCATCCTAGAGAAGAGTTGCATCTTAGATTTTTCCGAAAAACTTTCCGTAAACCATTTGACCTTCAATGTTTTTCTACTCATTAATACAGCAACTAAGGGCTTAAACATCAAAACATCTTGCATGTTTTACAAGAACTTCCTCCTCGCTCCCTTTTATGGCGTTTCTGACTGTGGATAGATGGAGAAAAGGAAAATAGACACTCGTTAAATCTTGTTTGAACCGCTTTTTCTAATTATAGAGGAAGGAAAATAGAGTTTAAATCCCCCTCATTCTCCACCTACAGAAAATCCATTCCCCTCAAGATCCTGTAGAGCTCCAAACAACTGTTAATTTGCGTTCCCTTTGCTTGTCAAACCAAAGCAGGGAAAATAAACTCCCATCTCATATTCTGTTATCATTTTTATGCACTGCCAAGGTGAAGACTTCTCCTTTCATTCATTTTCCTTGTCAACTCTCGAACATAACGTTTGGGAGAACAATAGTCAGGTCTTTCATTTCCTCTCATAATCATTCCCTTCATTTTTCATTTTAATTCCAGAACACAGTCAGTGTTAGCCGGCACAATACATTTTCTTCTATTTCAGATTCATTCGTCAACACTTTCTCCTGTTTGCAAGTGTCAGGAAAAATGAGCATGTATTCCACTCTGTAGATAAGTGTCTTAATCATTAAGGCAGAGCAAAAAGTTGAGCACTATCCATTACCCAATACATCATCCAAAATGCGAATTGGTCCCATATGGCCTAAGTTGTTAAAGAAGCAGCGTACCAAGACATCCCAAGTAGCGATGTTGGGAAAGATTCCTTCCGTTGTCATTTTATGAAGATACACAATGGCCTCTTCAATGCCTAACGAATTACAAATGCCACACAGAAGACTAGTATATGCAACTATGTCTGGACGCCACTCCTTCTTCTCTGTAAGCCTATCAAAAAGTTGCATGGCAGTTCTAACCTTGCCCCATTTACAGTATGCATAAATAATTATATTATTGGTAGTGGTATCCGGCTTTGCTCCATTTGCCAACATTTTCCCGAAAATCTGGAAAACTTGTTCTTGCATTCCAGCATGAGAGAATCCATACATTATAGTATTATAAGTAACAGAAGTTAGTTCCACCTCCAATTCTTCCAGCTCCTTAATAAGCCCATAAGCTTCCTTAAATCTGTTAACCCTAAATAAACCGTCCAGTAACTCATTATATGTTATGATATTAGGCGAGCACTTATATTTCTCCATCATATCAAGCACACCCATTGCCCATTCTACTCGTCCACTGGAGCACAAGCCCTTAATAAATGCATTGAACGTAACAACAGTTGGAGGACAGCCATCACTGTCCATGATTTGAATAAGACGCTGAGCCCGGTTAAACATTGAGTTCTGACAAAGGACATCCAGCATGCAGGTATATACTACAACATTAGGGTGGCAACCACAAGTGATCATTTTGTTCCATGTCTCAGAAGCACCTCGCAAATTTCCAGCTTTTGCAAAACCATAAATAAGAGAACTATACGTGGTAACATTAGGACGGCACCAAATCTTTTCCATATGATTACAGACAGATATAGCCTCTTCTAGATAACCATCGGTGCAGAGACCATTTATTAAAGTGTTATATGCAACAACATTGGGCTTAACTCCCTCTTGAATCATAAGACTCCACAAGCTAAGAACCTCACCCAATCGGCCACACAAAAAATAGCCTTTCATCAAGGAAGCAAATGTATGAATATTGGGGCTGCATCCTCTCATAAGCATTTGGCCAAGTACAGCAAGAGACAAGTCAACATTTCCCATGTCACAAAGACAACTGATGACTGTAGAGTAAGTGATAACATTCGGGTCAATGCCCTTATCTAGCATTTCAATGATCAAATCAAAGGCCTCCATAAATTTATAATCTTTGCATAATCCATGTATCAAAGAATTATAAACAGGCACCACAGGTGCGAATCTTGCAGCTAGCTTTTTTGCTTCCTCCACCTGACCAATCTTACACATAGAAGATACAATAGTCGTGTAGCTCACTGCATCTGGAGGGCAACCCTTACTTGACATTTCCACAAGCAACTTGCAAGCCCCATCCACCTTCCCATTTCGACAGAGAGCCTTGATAAGAATATTATAGGTGAAAATATTTGGATCCATACCTTCTCCCTTCATGTTGTTATAGACAGGATTGATCATCTGAAACCGATTTTCATCCAGCAACGAATCCAGCAGGTGGTTGTATATCCTGACTGTGGGTTTGCACCCGAATTCCCTTATCCTATATAACATCTTCAAAGCTTGATCAGCTGACCCAGCTCGTCGATAAGAATGTATAACACGGATGAATAAATCTTCAGAGCAATCTATTCCTTCCAACTTCATGTGTTGCAAAAGATATTGAACACCATCGATATTGCAGTTTCTTCCCAGTTTCTCAATCATAGTTTGGCATGTCAGATGGGTGTGTTTGAAAGCTCCAGAATTGGCCAAGGACTTGAAGTATTCAAGTGCCAACACAATATCTTGCTCATGTCTCAGTCTTTTCACAACTTCGGATTCCTTAAGAACGGACACATTTGCAGATTCAACTTGGGGTTTATCGGGATCAAAAATTGGTTTCGTGTTGAGTACAAAGGGAATTGAAGGCTTGCGCACTTTTAACACTAAAGAACATCCATCTTTCAAATACATAGTATTATGCAAATGAATTGAAGCCTTCGGCTTTAGATTCAAGAAGCTGAACACCCAAGAGAAAACAGACTAAGAAATCGGTTACAAGGATGACTTTGGGGTAGCCCAGCCCTCTTGCCCGCCACCAAAAATTCAGAACAAAACATTCTTCGCTCTGTGAATCTTTTGTTTCAATTTAGTGACCTTGATAATCAGGAAACACAAAAAACACGAATACAGATGCAGGAATGTCGTCACTTGGCAAATGAAAATAATGCAATATTGTCTACTCTCTCCTCATGGAATCGAAAAGACCATAATGCCCAAAATTCTCCACAAAGCAAGTCTATGAAGAACCTTGGTTTGCCAGACGACCAAGACAGAACCATGCAGCAGTTTCCAACTCAGATGAATAGAGTCTCCCACAAGGGCTCGTCCAGCCAGCAGCTGGGCTCGAGACTTGCACGTTGAACAAACCAAACAATAACTCTACTATGTGTTCTTCAAGTTCATCACCCGAGTCCCTCATCAGTTCTATTATCATTAGTCTTCAAAAATTTTTGGTCACCAAATTCCATGTTGCATTCACTCTAAACTATGTATTTAAGAAAGTTACTTATTAATTTGCGGTTCCTTGCCATCGGTTCCTCGTCGGCGGAGTTCAGATTCCTGGTTGCCGCAATCTTAGATACCGGCCACCTTACGGAGCAACGCCTCCTCGCCGCCGGGATCTCAGGTTGTGTAACTCAAAATTGCGGCGCCTTGCTTTGTCTCTGCTCGCCGAACACGGAGAGAGTTGCCGGGAAGAGGATGTAGAATAGAAGAGGCAGCAGGAGCTCAAGCTTGGTCTTAGAAGGCAGAATCGCAGGGCAGAGGACGATCGCAGAAGCTAGGGTTACTTCTGTCGAAATACCTTGCACGTTCAATTCACTGAAATTTGGGAAAATTCTCTTAAAAAAAATCCTGATTTTTGTTCACATTTATAACAGATAACCTTTTGGCATTACTCAGTCAAGTATGGAACATCCAAAAATTTATTAGGAAAATTCGCTAAAAATAGATCAAAAAAATTGTGTATTATTGACCAGATTAATGAGGACATATTATTATGCTTTTATGATGAAAAACTGACGTATTTAAAGTCTGGCAGCATTGTAAGAAATGACGGGATATTGATTCAGTTGATGATATTTATTCGAAAAATTTGACAACAATATTTATGGTGTTGAGGATCAAATCACGTCTGGATATAATGAAAGATAAGTTTAGGTGACTTCAGTGATCTTAAGTGAAAAATGGTTAATATTTTAAGGAAAGATTTAGGATTTTGCGTGTATCATGAAATATTAATATATCACCTAGAGAACATGTAATGATACATTGTTGATGTGTTATAGTTTAGTAGAAGGTGTGAATTGTTAATTAAAATGAAATAATTCCATATTTATGAACTCCCCGCGGGATAAATAGACACATCAATAGGGATCGCTGCCTTAGTAATTCCATTACAACTCTTAGTTGGATGTATTTATGGTCATCAATCTTCTTAAGATGTCAGGGCTAATGACAATTGCAACAGTGAAACATGCAATTTCCTGGCAAGATGTAAGACAACAAACAATCAGTCAAATTAGTTGAAATACTGCTCTCTGGTTTTTTTTTTTTTTGGGGGGGGGGGGGGAATATTTGGCCATAATAGCTGAAACATTATCATCAACTCATCTTGTAGCGTCAAATTAGAATGGCTAGTGATGTGCGTATCAAAAAAAAGAACGGCTACTGATATATTCATTTGTTTGAAATCCCGTTTTGGCTTTGCCAAAATGGGACATCAACACACAGCTTATACACAATCAACATTGGATATAATAAAATTAAAGAAAATTAATAGTACGCACAAGAATGCGTGAAATGAACAATAGAACTGGTATATTTGGTGCACAAGTAGTCTGGATGTCCACAGTGAGTTTGATCATGAAGACCTGTATTGTAAGCTTGAATCAAGGAGTAACAAAAATAGTAAGTTGCAAATTTATTTTGAGGTTTGATTTTGTTGGGATTGATTAATTTTTATTTAAATATTATCAAGAATGTCAAATTTAATATTATTGACTTAATTTATTGGATGTGTCCTGCGAGCTTTTCTCCTCCTCTGTAACTGATATTCTGCTTTATATCTTTTCTTTAATTGGAGGCAGTAGGATTGGCTAATTTTTATTTAATATTAAATATTATTAAGAGTGTCAAATTTAAGATTGACTTGATTTATTGGATGTGTCCTGCGAGCTTCTCTTCTCCCCTGTGACTGATACTGTTTTATACGTTTCCTTTAATTGAAGGCAGTAGGCACTAAGCCGCTAGGTCAGAGATTATTCGGCTGAGGTTACAGTTCAAGTAGTGTAGATGATAAGAAAGCAAGCATTTTTCAATATTATAGACGATTTGCGCTGCCACAGAATATTATTCACATGGGACAAAAGCGGAGGAAAAAAGGGATTTGTCACAAGTGATTTAAAGCAATTAATTAGTAAAACAGCGTAGCGAGTAATGGCATTTAATAAGCCATCGCAGAGAGTATATATGAATACTGCCTCAAAAAGCATGAAGAGGTTCCTTGGGGATGGACATTTATGCATGATATAATGGGACGATAAAATCAAACCAGAAGCTAGTAATTCCCTTGCCTTGATCCAATGACCGCAGATTATTCTTCTGCTGTGCAGGTTGCCTCTCTATGAAGCTGATTCATGTGGGTGCACATATTAGAAAAATGAGCTTGACTATTACTTAAGTAGTACTAATATTAGATTTTCTATGTATTAAGCATTGATGTATTAAGAAAACAGATATTCTCCCAGTTGTGATGAACGGGGATTGGGAAAACAGATCTGGCTACTGAGCAAAGAGAAACTCGGGTTCTGCATTGATTTGTAAGGTGAAATAGACAATTCAACACTCATATTATGCAGTAAATGACTTCTTGCTGTGCATATGTGAAGTATTTTGTGTTAGACATCATAATATTCGAAGCTTTAGATTGAACGCCACAAACAGATGGAGTAATGTACTGTAGACTCGATATATGTCTTGCCTTAGATAAATTCCTCATTGTGAGAACCTATATACGAGAGTTTTTGACATGCGGCGGAATATTAAAACCTACCTTCAAGAGGCTGAAGAACTAGTGTGTCCCTCTTCTTCTGAGGTTTCGTTTTCCTTTTCAGAGAGAATGGCCGGACAATGAATCTTGAGAAGCAGCTCAAAGGATCCTGTAGACCATCCATCTCATAGTGACCAAACCGCCAATCTCTCTCAATATAAGGTCGCTGAATAGGTTCATCGAGTCCACCTTCAATGAGGAACAAGAAGAACTGTGATTTATTTTTATCCAAATTTGAGCACTAATGTAGAACAATCCAGCCTTCGCTCAGGAGTCACATGGGACTCTAGACATGTCAAACTACAGTTACATGGAATCAAAGAAATTTGTAGATCTGACTGGTCAGATACCACGTAGCTCATAAATTGAACCACTAATTGATACAACTTTTAAATTTGCTATGCCACTACTCGCGGTAATTAAGGCACAATTATTTATAACTCAGCAAGGACACAGAAATATTCGTCCTTAACTTCTGCACATTGGTTATACTATTACTTCTATAACCTTGGGCTGACAAAGTTATTGGTTTAAAGTGCCGCAGCAAAACAATGTGACTGAATGAATCGCTGACCAAAATGTTAATCTGAGGAGGGGGGATAGAGAGAGATGAACAAGTGAAATCCAGAAGATGCGTGCATGCAGTCACCCGCACCATGAAAGCCTGAAGCAGAATATAAGCTGAAAGTCCAGAATGTAAATGATTATGACGGCCTGTAGGGCAAGCCTTACAATAGAAGAGGGAAGAATGCACATTAGGAAGCTGAAGGGGCTTATTTTTCTACCAGAAGGAAGAAAGTGGGGGCCCAAAACATAAGTACAAGGAGCTGGCAAGAGAGGAGCAGAATGGGGGCAAACACAGTTCAACTACCAATGTCTGGTGAAGTGAAGGTAGGTGAGAATGGGAGCAGGACAGAATATTACAGAGGAAGGGAGGATGGAGGAACCAAGCAGAATTTCATTACTGAAAGGAAGAGGTCCAGGTCTCTTGAATACCAGGGAGAGCGTTGCCGTTTTTTTCCCTTTTCTTTTGTTGCTCTTTTTTTGCCCTGATATTCAGAGAACAATTCTGTTAAGGTAGCAGAAGCCTTCTTCCTTTGGCGGGTGACTGAATCAGAATCCTTAAATAATACCACCTCCTGTCTTTAATATAAGAATTAATTAACTAATTTGAGTAGATTAAAAAAATTAGTTAAGTTAGTAATTTTTAACAAATAGGTGTTCTCTTTCCTAAAATATTCTTGCTAATCAAATGTATTAGTTAAAACTACCATTACTACAAGGACTACCTTGAAAAAGAATAAATAAATAAGAGAAACAATGTGGATTGGTGTCTTATATAGCACAAACTCAGATTCTCAATGGATACCTGCATACATCAAGCCGTGCTTGTCTACAGCCCGATAAAATGGTCTTGTTTTCTTCTCATTGGCAGCTCTCTGGAGTTCATTCCATTCTCTGTCACGATCGTCACGTGTGACTCTGCCCGTGCTCACAATCTGGAATTAAGGTTACATTAAAGGTGTCTGTTCAGAGAAAAATAGTGTCAAGTAAAACAACTATAGAAACACAGTTCTAACTTTAGAAAATAGGTGGTAAGAAGGGCGTGGGTTGCGTGCAAGATTATTAGCTCGGTCAACTGCTACAAGTCCAAACTTGGGACCGTATCCATCAGCCCACTCCCAGTTATCAGAAATAGTCCAAAACAGGTAACCAAGCACAGGAACACCCTATGAAACGAGAAGAGGAAGGCCTGATGTGATATCAGTAATGACAAAGAATCACGTGGTTTAAAGCTGATCAACGTTAAATTCAGAGTCCAAACCATTGTCATGGCTGCATATATAGCAAGCAAATGTTCCAACAGATATGGACGTCGGATTAGATCTGTCTCATCAGATACTCCGTTTTCAGTAATAATGAAGGGAACATTTAGATGTTTGTATCTTTCATGGAACTGAAGCAACATGCGATACAAGCCATCAGGATATACCCCGCGACCAGATTCACTGTATTCATCTGTTTCCACAAGTTTCAGTCCCGCACCAGAAACAACTTCCTAAATGTCAGAATAGCTATATAAGCATGAGCCTAATGCACACAGTCCATTCATCAAGGTTAACAAAACAAACCTGCCCATAGTAGTTTATGCCTATAAAATCCAGCTTGTTAGAAATACCATCGATGTACGGGAAGAGAGTCAAGGAATTAGCCAGTGAAACAGCAGCGACATCAAACAGACCATAGGGTCGCATGAATGACACATGGTGTGCTACACCAACTATGGGTTTTAATGAGTCACTGCCAAAAGGTTTTCATGAATCAGAAAATTATAATTACAAAATCAGGTAAGAGGTCAACCATGAAAGCATAACTTATAGGGATGGAATGAAAAGGTAAAAAGTCATAAAATGATGTTCAATGTTCGATAAGAAAGCTACGCATTCTGCAGCTTCTTTTGAGAAAGGCAAACCTTTTTTCATGGATATAATCATATGCTTTTGAGTGTGCAATAGCCATCCAATGCATGGTCTGTTGGAACACACCAGTTGGAAGAGCAGAAGTAGCAACCTCCAGCATATCAGGATTACCACCAGGCCAAGCGCCAGCACAATAAGTAAGCATACAGAAGACATGAGGTTCATTGAAAGTAACCCAATATTCTACCAGATCAGATACACTGTTTACAACAAGCCTGCACCATGGAATGTAAGCAATGAGGAAAAGCATCATGTAATTTACTATCATAAGATGGATAACTCATTGACATTGAATAAAGACATAATCATGTGGGGGAAAATATGAATATGAGGACAAGCTCCAAGCTGCACAAGACAATCTTAAAAGCAACCACTACATGCTGGCGTCTGACACCAACATATGGAATTTAACAAAAACCAGCAAACAGACAGTGCCATAATTCAAGTGAACATTTTACAATGGAGGGCAACTAATGTTCAGTCATTCACAAACCTTTTCAATTCACTCAAGTGATTTTTCATCACAACTTTTTAAAAACAAAGTGTAATGACGGATAGATATATTAGTTAACCAGGAGAAAGTTGGACAGCTCTGCCAATCAACATGTAGCTTAGTTAAACTGTTTGATATGAAGCCAGTGGTTTATATAATACGGCTCCAAGAATTGTTTCCAATTATGATATAATAGTTATGCGGGTGGGACAAACCTGGCACCAGTGAAATCAGGCCAGGTTTTTGGGTTGGGGCCTGTTAATCAGGCAATGCTAGTACACAGATGATTAAAATGACATCTCTGGGCTAAGCAGATTTATATCAAAAGATACCAGGTCAACCAGAATTGTTTACGAAGGCCACCTCCTGAATGATGTAATTTTGCCTCTATGCCCCCGGCTTACCCAAAAAGGGAACTAAATCCCCCTTCCTCCACGACCAAGAGTACCCAATCCCAAACATACCCGCATTTTCTTCAGACCTTCCTCCATCCCCTTTCTTCTCTTCTCAAACAGTCAAATAAAAGTGCGTTACTCCCCAGGCCCCACCTCCACTTCCCTGCAGCAAAGCAGCCTTATAATTGTGCAATGGTGAGATTGCATTATTTGGGCATGCATGCATTAGTTTCACTTAAAACCAAGGATAGGCGGGCACAGTGCAGTGGTCGTTCTAACGCAAATGTCATTAGAAGCAGTTAGAGGAAATAACATATACGGACAACTAACACGAAGCAAAGACCAACCTGGTAAAGTCCATGAAATAATCAACAGTCTTTTCCAGCTTCCAACCTCCATACTCACCAGCCCAAGGTGGGAGTGAGTGATGAAAAAGAGTGAGCATGACTTTCATCCCATATGACCGAACCCTATTGATAATCCACTTATAACGCTCCAAAGCAGCATAGTTAACCTGAGAAGATCAAGTGAATTATTCATAAAAGTAAAATATCTGCACCAGTTGAATTCATTGAACTGATTTTTCATAAAACAATATTAGAAAACACTTTAGCTGACTGCTTAAGAAGCTATTTCACAATATTACTTATCAGTTATCATACTTGCCAAGTAGTGGAAGATGGCATCATTGTAATACTTAATCAGCACGGAAAACCGTTATGACACTCACAGATTCTTTTAACCCATTTACAGGCTCCTCTGGCATAATTCTTGACCAATCTATCCCCATGCGAAAGACAGTAACACCAGTATCTTTGGCCAGCTTCAGTTCTGTATCAGGATCAGACCAAAACCTTAATCTCTCCTCCCTGAGAATCAGGCATCATTTTCTATTCAGCATGAAAATATCCACTGTGATATAATTAAGATACTCCAAAAGTTCACAATATCCATCTCTGTTAATAATTAATGCTTAACATGATATCAGCATTAAAATCTGGGCTTACGGGTGCGGAACATTATGCCAAGAAGTTACATTATGTTGTTGTTCTTCTTTTGGCACAGCAGCTGGTGCTTCTTCATCTTCTTCTGAGTACTTCTCAAATCCTCTAATCATGGCCTCCATAGCAACCTTTAAAGGCTTTTTCCTCTTTTTAACTGCATAATCATCATGCTGTCGAGATGAAGCAGCTTGGTGTGACCCACCATCACCAGTAGCAGAGCCCATCAAAGCATCAGCTTGTTGTTTGACCTCTTGTGAGTCAGCACGAGGCTTTTCTTCTTCTGCAAACTGAATCCAAGCATCATTAAGCCTATCCTCAACATGTGCTGGTGCTGTAGCCAGGCCAAAGAAAAAACCATTTTCCTCTTCTGCAGGTAGTCACGAAAGGGGAAAAAACTTCATGATCCTCCTTCAGACAATCAAACTTACACATAATTACATAAGCTAAGTAGGAGCACCACGTATATGAAAATGTTATATTATCAAGGGCAAGCCAAAAATTAAAAGTTATTGAGTTTGGCAAATATAGTTCGTAAAAGAAATTATAAGACGATAGCTTCTCTTTTGGTAGCCGTGCAGTTCTTGATTAATTATATGGCATATAGTGGGATAAAGCCCAGAAACTTAAACGGAGTCAAAATCCTCGTCAGAAGAACCCCTCGAATATAATCAAGAAACATGGCCTGATAAAATTTCAACACGTATTTCTCGAGAAAAATTTCTCGCCGATGTGACTCTAAGGCCTCACCGGTAAAGTGCGTGATTCTTCCTTCTAACGCTGTGCCTACAAGCCGAAACCAATTTCAGTGGAAGTAAGAACTTAAACCACATTTCCTCCCATTCAAATTCAGGTTCGAGCTTCAGACTTCGCCAGAATAAGCTTGCACTATATACGAGTCTCCCATGTACGTACTTAAGTTTACAATTACCCTGACCCCAAGCATATGACCAGAAATAGGACATCAACAATTAACAATACTCAATAATCATTTAAACTTTATAACAAACCTCGATTGCTCAAACAGTATAAAAATGGAAGTGTTCACTTCTAGTCCCTTACCATCAACATTGAAGACGGCGAGTACATCAGAGGACTCGTCAATAGGCGAGCGGAACGGGCGGAGATTCTTTCGCCTGAAACGGGAGAATGAGAAGGCATTAGCGGCGATGGTGATCGTGACAATTGCTCCGGCAAGCTTCGTGGCAGTGACGAAGAGCGCCCCAAACGTCATTTCGTCCGGCCACCGGGGTCGCGCTCGCTCACTGAAACTCAACGCAAGTGAGGCGGATGATATCCACTTGTCTCAGAGATAACGAACTCATAAAGCGTGAGCGCTTCAAGGGGCCCACCGCGCATATCATGTACACGGAATCTCTACTTTACGGTGGCTTAACGAAATACGGCAACCTCCATCGGCGTTTTCTGGTATTTTCCACGTGAAGCAGAAGCAGTGGTGCTCATGTGGTTGGCGCGGAGAGCTACATTCTGTTAACATCAATCCGAACCCAACCCGAAATGAGGTCCAATTCCTTGCGGAGTAGCAAGCTTCGGGCAGGTTGGGATTTTACCTCTTGAAACGCTAATTTAATTTTTAATTTAATTCTAAACATAAAATTTTAATATATTTTATTTTTTATATCTATCTGTTTTTTTAAAATAATTTTTATAGTAATTATACACATTAAAAGTTTCATCAAATAGTAATTTTAGGTAATACACATGATTAATAAAGATATTCTAGAAAAAGCAATATATTTATTACAAATAACTAACTTAATTACTATTTTTTTTAATCTCTTCAAATTAGTTAATTAAATTTTATATTAAAGATCAAATGCATACTCACCTTAAAAAAATATATTCTCATGAATATAATTGTAAATCAATTTTATTTAATTTTTTTTACCTATCAAAATAGGTCCTTCATCATTTGAGAATTTGCTTTTTAAAAAAAAAAATTAAATCAGCAAACTTCTTACGCGTAATAAATCCTAAAAAAAAATTTAATTGTAATAAAGATATTTCAGCCATGGACCCTATTGTCGAAGGATATAGTCTTTGTGCCTCATCAAAAAAAAATTAAAATAAAATTTTAATCTTTATCTTCAAAGCAGTTTATATTATCCACAACGGAATCATAGAGAACAATTATACAGTATATGCCACTATAAAAAATATACCTTTATTCAAAGCGAATTATAAATAATTAATGAAAGCATCATTTTGTTATCTATTTTATTTATCATCACGAAACGATCCACGAAGGAGGTTGGTTTGAGTAAAATTACATATATATGCGTAAAGTCTTTTCTAAAAATTATTCTTCTAAAATCATTTGAAAAACACATTTTGGGGTATTTAGGGCATCTAATTAACATTCACGCATGGTTTCATTTTTTTAATTTTAATCTTCATAACTACCAATGCGTGAACGAGCCGAGCAATATTTTAGGAGGAAAAATGTGTACGAAGATGGTAAAGGTAAATAATAAACCTTATAAATCATTTGGAGGAAAGATATATATATATATATATATATATATATATATAACCCCAACATTAAGAAAAGATTCACCATTTTTTCCTTTCTTTTCTTAATTCTTCTCACCAAACAATGCATGAACTGGCATAATGATGACATTAAAGAAATCCAACATCCATGCATATATCATTTTTAAAATTTCATTTTGTTCTTTCCTACCTAGCAATACAGGAATGACGAAATGAGTAGTCAACACTTGTAAGAAAAATGTATATATACATAATAAATGTTAATAATATACTCCTCCGGTCCTTAATATAAGACCCATTTAACTAATTTGATTAGATTAAGGAAGTTAGGTAAGTTAGTTAATTATAAGAAAAGTGACACATTCTTCCTAAAACACCATAATCATCTTTGTTAATACCCCATCTTCCTCTTCTACTTAATTATGGTTGAGGGAGTATCCATATGGGTAATTTAGAGAAAATTAATAAATATGAGAAATGGGTCTTATATTTAGGACCAAAACCAACTCAAGAATTGGGTCTTATATTAAGGACCGGAGGAGTACCTTTTAAATATCCTAATAGCCCAAATCGTGAGAGAAAGCGGCACCATTCATTTAACATTTTTAATCCTTCTTACCAAACAATTCATGAGCTGCCCAAATAGCACCTTATCAGGTAAAAAAAAAAAAGTTCATTATATGTAGCTATTATGTTCAAAAAAAGATCCCATTAAAATTATTTTAAAAGAAGATGATCCAAATATTGATAAAAGACAAGTTCATATGTTTTCTTTGCTATCTTTTGAAAACAGCTTAAAATGCTCAATCTCTGTTTACAAGGAATCAAAATATTTAATTAGATATTAATTATATGTGTTTTTTTTTAACTCGTGGAAATTTTCTTTCATGATGAAGGTCTTAGGATAATTTATGTGAGTATGTGGGAGAAAATATGTTTCAACCACCAAATCTTCCAACTCAACCAATAGGAATCGTGATGGTCACCTCTGCCAATGGGAGTGTTTCGACTCAACACAAATGGCTCAGTGAATAATCTACGACAAGCTGCATGCGATGGAATCATAAGAGATGAGAACGGTAATTGGATTGTAGGTTTTCACAAACGACTTGGACGTGTTCCCTCAACCACAGCAGAACTACTTGGGATTACCACTAGACTTCAAATATGTAGACAACAAGGTTTTGACAAAGTGTTGGTCTATACCGACTCACTTGAGGCTATCCACCTACTCATGACAGACAGTGGAGGATACCATCCTTTTAGAACAGAGATCACAAAAGGAAGGAGGCTGATATTCTCTGATTGGGAAATTGAATTTAGATATGCACCTAGGGAGTCCATACAGCGTGTAGATTTTCTGGCAAGAGAAGCACATATCGTGGAGGACATGAAGATTTTAAATGAACCCCATCCTGGATGTTGATCGCCTATGTTTAGATAGGGTCTAAATGTAGTTGTTGTGTTGTACTGATTTATCTTGAGCAAGTTCATCTTGCCCATAAAAAAAAATGCTGATTTCTCCAAACAAAAGGAATCATGCGAAAATATTTAGCTATTGTATGTGCTTTTTGAACCATGAGGTATACCGTAATTTTGATGCTTAGCCTGTTGAAATTTTTCTTTTGTGACAAAGGTATCAGGATCATTTTTATGAATATGTATGAGAGAAAATATGTATAAAAATCCATTCATACTATTGGAAAAAATGCGTAAGAAAAACAACACTTATAGTTTTTTCCCCTTTTGTGTGAATAATGTTCACTTGTTGAGAGCTATATTGAGTCATCGCTATTTAAAGTAAATATGTGAAAAGAATTTTGTTTCGACTTATGAGAAAAAATTGTTTTTAAGTGCTTCTAAAAAGTACCGAAACTCCCCAAGTCGAGTTCGGCTGTGCTGTATATCACATACAGATGTAAAATTCTTTGAACGATAATTTTCTTCAATCATCCCGCATGATAGTAAAACGTTTAACATCATATTGAAGGTGGCCGTGGGAAAAAAACCACTGACCGGAGCCTATACTAACTGGTTGGCTTTTATTTAGATTATTAGATAAAATTATTTATTAAATTTGAAAACCAAAATGCATGAGAGAACAAACTCAATATATGACTAAAAATATTAACTGCTATTGCCAAAGTTCTTCCACCAACAGAAATATAAATTGAGAAAGACGTATAGTTAACTACAACAAAGACCTTTTTTGAACATTAGACTACCACAAATTTAAACTCTAACTTTAAAGCTTAAGAGACAAATCAAGACCCGAAGAATCAAGATAATCATCATTCTCTTTCTTGGGAGCTTCTTCTGGCATAAACTTGATGTGTTGATCACCACCAGTAGCAACAGTAATAGTAGCAGTAGTTGAAGAAGAAGAATTTTGCCCAAACTGATGGCGAGTAGTTGGAGGACTAATATTCTCACTAATTTCTTCAATCTTCAAGGTTCCAGAACTTGCCCTAACTCCAAACCTATCTAGGGTTTGATGATCATGCCTGAACCTAAAATTAGGGTTACTGTAAGAAGGTTTGTGAATCATGGACTCCATTCTAACCCCAAGTGGCCTATTATAATTGATCAAAGGGCTATTAACCAGAGGGTTAGGATGATGATAAGGGTAATTACCATAATAAGAATAGTGTGGAGAATAATAATGATTCCCCAAGAAACCAAAATGGTGATCAGAAACAATCCCTGCTTGTCGTCGTTTTGCAATTGCACGCTCTTGTTTGTGTGCGTTTTGATGGCCTCCTAGGGCTTGTGAGGAAGAAAACTCTCTTTTGCAGAAGTTGCAGCAGTAAGTCCTTTCTGCAGAACTGTTCTTTTCATTATCATCACCATGATGATCTTCAAGATAATCATACTCATGATCTTTTCCATTGTTGTTTTTATTATTTGTTTCAGATGAAGAACCTATGATGTTCACTTCTGATCTGAAAAAATCCAGCTCCATCTTCGATTTATTACGAAGAGAATCATCCTTGCTGCTGGTAATCTTTATGGAACATATATCAAACAACATAAGAGAAATCAAATGGTCAAATAATGAATATATGCGGTAATATAAATTTAAATTACTTTTTCGTGTGTTAATTTAACATATGATTATAATTAGTAGAGAGAAAAGAAATAGAGGGTGAGTGTAAAGAAAGAGGGGAAATAATAAATTCAATGTATTCAGACATTTTTCTGCAAAAAATGTAATCTTTATTGACTTTAAAAGAAAAGTGATTCAAATAGAGGATTAATTCCAATTGCATAGCTGATGATTTGAACTTCTGTGACAGTAGCAAGACAAAACTATAAAAGTGATTTGGAATCCCTTTGGTCAGAAAATACACGAGTTATTACCTTAACCTTAAAAATAATAACTAAAAAACAAAACAAAAGAACTAACGAAATAAATTTTAAAAAGAAAGAAAGAAAAGAAAGTTTTATATATAAATTTACTCACTTGAACCATCTTCATCTTCTGGTTCCTGATGGCTTCATCTCTGGAACTTTCTCCTTTGGACCCTCCTGAGATGCTGGAGGCTTCAGAGGATGAGAAATCCATACCATGATTTGGAGCCATGGAAGCTAATAATAGTAAAACACGAAACCAAAAGAGAGAACAAAAAAGAACTAACTTTTTTGAATCTGTAAAAGAGATGAGATTCAAATTAATCAAGAAAGAAGGACGGTGTCTATTATATATATTCAATTAGAGACACCTATAGTAAATGCAACACAATCTTTAAAGAATTGGAAAGAAATCTCCCTTTTAATTTTTCGGTTATGATTTTCATTAGTAGTACTAAGTGATTGATTTGATTTAACAAGCTTGAAGCTTCCTCACATATTTAAACACACCGTTCCATGAACATGTATCATTAATATTGAATGCTAATTATTGTAATAGTCAAATAAGATCTTTAATAAAGAAGAACATGA